ATATGATTTTGCATGACATAGCGTATAACATAACAATTTCTCTCCTGGCAGCGAGGTGGGTGTCAATATAATACTACTTACAATATTATTGTTACTTCGACCACAACCTCGCTTCCGAGGAAGAAATCGTTATGTTACAAGTTGTGTCATGGAAAATCTTTATGGTCATCAATCATATGCATATTTTATTACAACTAGTAAGTAGTTTTGATTCTTTAACTTCCGTGAAGCGATCTGAACACAAGTAAGATATCGTTTCAGGCTTCCACAACGCTCGCTTCGCACTCACAAACATAACCCATTTAGCACGAACTGCGGGGTCCTGTGGAAATCTGTGCATGGGGACACCATCGCCCGACCCCTAGGAGCAATTGACGACAAAGCAACGATTCGGCATGTCTTCGTTGATGTCGAGAAATCATCAAAATGATGAGCGTGCTACACATTTTCTATACAACTAACTGAAAATCGTTCCTCATATGACGTCACTGCAGTGCTCTGGCGACAGAGTTACGTAACCTGTCTGGGGTTTCGTTGGCGGGCGAGAGGAAGCAGGCGACTTTTGGCCACTTTTAATCGCTCGGTATTAATTAACCACAAGTTTTAAAGAATAAATTTGGTGTTCCGCATAAGACTAACCACAAATCTTTCATATGTAATGGTTAAAAGAGTAACAAAAACAAAGTTTAGTGGTTCTTTAAACCAATCGTTTTTCTTTTCGATAGTTTGTTTCAGATTGCGTCCAGGTGATCTCTTGACATCGTGATAATGTTGAACAATTCGACAAGGCCACGCGAGTTGTCTGCCCTTGGCAGACAGTAAATCGTTAGCATAGCAACCCGCACTTGTAATGTATATCCGTTTTGTCGTATATCTGTTTTTGTATCTTCTCATGTGCATTAAGGTGTCATTGTGCAGATATTTGAGAAATCATCAGAAAAGTAAATAGAATACGCCCACAAACGGTCAACTGTTTGCAGTGTTTAAACGTTGCATGATAATGGGTGGGGCTTCTGTGCACGATATCACCAATTTTGTATTGTTTTCGGAAGCTGTCTTTTTGATTATATGAGTTATTTAATAACATTCTCTAAAGTTATATTGTTGAATATTTTGGCGTTTATGTAGATATAAATGCATAAGCTGATTTGTTTTAAAGTAAATCCCTTTGTGGACATTTTTACCCAGTGAAGAGAGTTATTGACTGGGGAAAATGATAAAAAGATCCACCCACTCACCAATCAAAGGACGTGCCAAGAAAGACTAAAACTATTTGTACAGAATATAGTTTATTTTGAAAAAGCACATAGACAATGACCATGATAAATAACACCCAAACATGATAATAATACAGAATCAGATTCGTATTTGGCTGACACTGAAATGATCCTCAGAAATCAAATTGATTAAACTGAAATGTTTTAAATCAATATGATGAATAAAATGTACCAGACACAGAGAGACACAGGAGATGTATATGCATGGCTGGATGATGATCAACAGTGAGTGATCAATGTTATGGATAGTGTCTAGGGTGGATCATACCGCATTCAACATTATAAGAGCCCCAGTTGAAAGCTAATAGCAATACAGTACATGACAAGTTGAAGATCGGGACTGTCAATAACATAACAAAATACCCACAGCAAATTTGGTTGGTGGTAGAAGTGACCCAGTGGTTTCAATTTGTAGTTCAGTTGCCTCCCCTAGCTGCATCAGGATCTGCTGATCATATTCTGAAATTCTAGATTTTCTCTGATTATGACCTTTTATGGGAAGACTAATGATCAGATTCAAATTCTCAATCAGCAGATTATTGCTCAGTGAATGAAGACACCTATACCACAAGCTCGTTCTGCAACTTATGAGAAGTGGGGCATTTATGTCAAATACAGTATCTGAATTTAATATTGCATTTGTATTAAGTGAATATACATTTATATGTCATGTGTACATCTTACAAAAATTTCAACCCAAGGAAAGAATATGACTTTATATGCCAGTATCAAAAATTTGAAATAATTTCCAAATCTTATGGCATAATAGCTACGATTGTTTCATATGAAATCACCTGAAGGCAAAGAAAGACAATGGACTCTACACAAAAGGTGTGGTGCGACCATATCAAGCCCAGCAGTAGTGTTCAGTACAATCATATTGCATAGGAAATGTATCATGAAGATTTTAATATATTAGGCACGTTTAAATTTCACAACAATTATAATTTTAGTTAATGTCAGATCATGTGTGGGTGAAGCAGCCTATATCATTATATCATATAATCATACAATATGGCCATTTTACCCAGCCTTGTAAGAATATACCGACTTTTTATATTCAACTATAATAAAAATACACATATAAAATATATGTTGTACTTCAGAACTGTCCCATCAGTTAGTTTTTCCTATTTTCACTGATTAAAATCACACTGTGTTTTATGTAAAAAAATTTAATTTCCACACTTTCTACTAATTTATATCTATCACACTTAGATAACAGTGAAATTAAAAACAATATCATGATATTCAGGGCTTCAACATGTATTGTCACAAATTCAATTATTTAAACAGAAGAAACACATTCTTTATAGAAAGAACCTTGCTATTTCTCTCTTCACATTTTCAATCACAACATAAATGCTTCATCAAATAATGTATTGTTAAAGTTTACTTCATTTAAGTACAATATTTGGAAAGAGAACTGTAATCAGTGTTTGTTTAGAAAACATAACAAAGTTTATCAACAGTTTTCAGGAAAGCGTGACAAGAATGGGCAACAACATATGAGTATGGACCAGCCACCTCTACATATTTACGAAGGCTTTGTGCTTGTGTATAGATGTGATAGAATACGGCAGATATTTTAACCTTTACATGATAACCTTTACATGATAACCTTTCCATGATAACCTTTCCATGATAACAAAAGCTTTCTTAATCCTTTAAAAATGGAGTGAGTGACTTTAGTTTTATGCAATATTCCAGCAATATCACAGCGGGGAACACCAGAATTGGGCTTCACACATTGTACCCTTGTAGGGAATCGAACCTGGGTATTTGGCATAAGCAAACACATTAACCATTAGACTACCACACCCCATCTTTTAAAAATAGAGCCACAAGGGTCTGTAGTGAATCTATGTAAAAAGATAATTGCAGGCAGTTTCAGAGATGTCAAAGAACAGTAACACTAGAAAGGTGACGGTGAAAGGAAAAAAACAGAATATGCCAAATATATAATATGATATTCTGCATATCAAATATTATAATGAAACATGCAGAAATAATCAAATTTAATAATTCTATATGGAATTCTGTGAGCACATTTTAGGGACATCGTTATTCATTCCTTCACGTTTCATGCGGTACTATTGTTCTTTCATTGGAGATGAGACCCGTGAAGGTCCCGGTTAGAATTGATCTTCAGTAACCCATGCTTGTCGTAAGAGGCGACTAACGGGATCGGGTAGTCAGGCTCGCTGACTTGGTTGACACATATCATCGTATCCCAGCTGCGTAGATTGATGCTCATGCTGTTGATCACTGGATTGTCTGGTCCAGACTTAATCATTTACATACCGTTGCCACATAGCTGGAATATTGCTGAGAGTGGCGTTAAACAACATACCAACCAACCAATCATAGGAGATGGTGAAAACATAAAAGTTCAGGACAACTGAACAATGGACAACGAGCCACAATATGAAATCCAGAAACTGTCAAAATTACTGGTCAAAATAATTTCTGATATCTTGACCTCTATAAAAAAAGAAGATTCCATGTAAGGATTTCAGTGTCTAGGCTACATGTTCGAGTTTTTAAGGTTGAACCTGAGAACAAATAATACTTGTGCTGTATTTGAGTATTTACTATTATATCACAGATAGAAATATGCTGATAAAAAATTATTAATACCAGTTGATCCAATCACCTGTACCCACCTAGCAAAAGTGAAGAGTGAGTTCCTTGGACATACCGGTATATGCTATTCAAAAGACATGTTCTTTGATATTACTAATAATCCATCTTGGCATGTGGGGAATAGAACCTTTAAGGTTAAGAACACCTTAACCGCCCAGCCACCCAACAGTATGTATCCACTAGACGCACTGAGTTTCATGGCTTTCTCACCCTTACGAGGGACCCATTCACAGCTAGGTGGACTGGGACACATAGTCACAGTACTTTGTCCAAGTTCACTGCACGTTGCTGTACCCGCAACTAGGTGTTTGCATGTATTCATGTGGCCACCATCTGGTCATATACCAACGGATTTGTGGGTTCTTTTAAGTGCACAGGGTTGTGTACTGTACACTAGGGGTTGTGACAACAATACCCCAGTGCAGTTTTTCATGCAATGATAACATACATGTATGTGCTTTTCTGTATCAATACAAGATGAAGTACTTCCTACTCATTCAGTGATACACTCAAACCCCTGTGTATTTTTCTCTCAAATATTGCAAAATGAATTGTAATTAGCGTACAAGTTTATTAGTTAAAAGAACTGGCCTGAACATGCATTCCTTTGCAACCCGCTCTGAAATATCTACAGTCAAGAGGTTTGTATGCGATTTGGCATAAATATACATATCGTGTAATGTATTACATCCTGACCTATGTATCATCATCATCATCATCATCATCATCATCATCATCATCATCACTCATCATCATCATCATCATCATCATCATCATCATCATCATCATCATCATCATCATCATCATCATCATCATCATCATCATCATCATCATCATCACTGTGATCATCATCATCATCATCATCATCATCATCATCATCATCATCAAAGGCATACAATTTGACTGATGTAATTAGGACTAATGTGAAGATCATTTTATAATACAAGAGAAATACAGCGCTAGGCTGGTTACAGAGAGATAAGGTTGTGCATCAAGTCTGTGAACAACTATAGGGGTAAAATGGTCAAGGCTGGAGGTATTTGCTGTAACAGAACAGAGATATACAACCCTGTATAATCAAGGAGGAATACCTTCAGCCTCAGGTAGATCCTTCTCTATGGTGACAAAGGCTGCTGGGAACATGCCCTCCCTGCCATGACATCGCCCCCTCAACCAGTCACCTCCGATCTTCTCCAGCAGCTGAATTGTCTCCCCTGTCTTGAAACTCAGGTCGCCATCTTGTTCTCCTCCATAATCAAAGCTTGCCTTGCAGTAGGGATGTGATTGGTCAGTAACCGTTGAACTTGGGTCTGCCATTGGCTGAATTAGAAGGAGTAACATTTCTGTATCACACAGTATACCACCTGGATGTGTTATGTCTATTGTTTCAGCTGGTTGTGATTCTGTGATTCAAATTCTTCATGATGTCCTCTACGTGCAACATGCCAATGCTGGACAGTTCGATTCAAACAAGATGAGAGCAAGCCTTGATTCACAGTTTTGCAGTTTCATATTAAGTGCATTGTGCTCATGCCCCATGTGGTAAAAGTTGGGTTGCATCCCCCTTGTGTGGGTGACAAACACACCTTGAACCATGAAAGTTGAACCTTGGGGAAGGAGCTAACCTATATGTCTAATATAGAGTGAAACCTTGTTATTCCACACCCTTTTCAACAAGAAACCCTCCTGGAACCTTCAACTACTGGAAATGGTTACATGGATCGAAACTATTTACATTGTCCATAGAATAAGTTAAAAGGGGTTTGACTGCATGGGTTATTTGTGATCCGAATATTTTGTCTTTGTAGCAACTGCATTTGATCAAATATTCACATATATGCAAACAAATGTCTGTCAAAGTTAACTCAAAACCTGCTAATTGCACATAAAGTTTAACAGTATAGATAAAAACTCCATAGTGCCATTCTTGGACTGTGCGTCACGACTATTGAAGTTCCATTTTGAAGAATGCTTGGTCATGTGTCGACATTCTATACCAACCTGGTTATAATCATCTACATCATGTGTAACATCCATCATTTGACTGGCTGACCAAGGATCATGTGACTGTGCTCCAATCTGATTGGCTGGTTCATACGGAGGAAGGTCAGATGGTATATAGTCTATGAAGGCCGAGGGGAACGTCCCTGACTGTCCATCCATCTGTCCGTACAGCCACTCTGTGTTGACTTGGCTGATTACCTGGATCTTCTGTCCAGCCTTCATAAACAAGGGTGAGTGAGTGAGTGAGTTAGTGAAGGAGTGAAGGAGGGAGTAAGTGAAGAGGGAGTGAAGCAGGAAGGGAGATAGGAATGGATTAACACTCAAGCAAACCGGACACAAGCACAGACCTTCAGTGAGGCAAGCAAACAATGTGGCTATCCCTTGCCTAAAGTCCACAGAATTATTTTGAATGCAAACCTTTGTGCCCTTATGGACAAACCAGATTGGTAAGTCCCAACATGGTGCATGTACATTATGTAATACTTTACCAAAAGATAACAGAAAATGAGATGTGCGAGTGAGTGTTTCACCATAGCCATCAATCTAGGTTTCCGGGAGGTGAGTGAACATGACAAACACTGCCACTTTGCCCTGTATCCAAAACAGATTTATTACATCGCCTTCACAAGCAGATTAGGAAGGAAAATGTTTCTTATTCTTAGATCAGCCGTAATATAGGTACAATTTCAGTCCTTTGTTCACCATTAAGACTTATATCGACTAGACATGGTACAAAAAAAGACTGAAAGAATATTACGTTTAACTTCAAAACAATCAATCACCCAGTGACCCAGATCAATGTATATTGATTACCTGGAAGCTCAGTTCATCGCCTTGTCCATCGAAGTCAAACATCGCGGTCGCGTGACCATCCTGTGACTTGCTGTCTGTATCATCCAGTGGAAGGTCCTCAACAATCTCCACGAAGGAAATGGGGAATATTCCGACTCGGTCCCCGAGTTCCCCTCGTAGCCACTCACTTCCAACCCTTCCCACCAGGCGGATGACGTCATCCTCCTCAAACACCAGGTCATCCTTCCCTTCGCCGTCAAAGTCAAACCGTGCCACACAACGAGGGCCTGATGTCACACTTGGCGTTGTCTTTTTCACGGGCACCGGACTGTCCCATGAGGGCAAGTCCGGTTTGATAGCAAAGTCAGATAGCTGGAAATAATCAGGATACAATAACAGCATATGTTACATTTTATCATCAAAAATGGCCGCCACAGGCAATATCACTAGGCTGAAATCAAGGAATATCAAAATCAAGGGAGATAATGTCACAATGAAATTGCAACACAGTGTGATGCCATTCACAACTTTAAAGTAGGATCTACTAATAAATATTTGCATCAAAGCACATCCAAAGCTCATTCACAGACATACATCACCAACAGCAATGCCACTTCCCAAAGCCTAAGTAAGACTCTTACTTAACTGTTTCATTTGGAAACATCTACCTATCATAAAAGGGAGATAATGTCAATTACAGCCATACCATTGTTTTGTGTTTCCCAAAGGCTAAGTACCACCCTTACTTTACATATTCCATGTTCCATTTGGAAACATCTACATCTATCGTACATTGAGTCATACTGATCTCACTGCATGTTTATGATGTAAAGGGATGGGTTACTGACTGATTAAATATAAATCTATTTTTAGCTGATAGCCATGTTGGGATTTCCCTTCTATTTGGAAGACATGGCAATAAGTATAATAAACACATGGATTTCTGATCTTGAATCCTGATCTTTCCTGTCACAACTCCACACAGCTGTAGCCCACATCTGTATAGCAGAACCTCACCTCGTCATGTAGGGGATGGACAATGTCCACAAAACCTGCAGGGAACATCCCTTCCTTGGCCCCGACTCTCCCCACCAGCCAGTCAGCATCAACACGCCGCACCAACATCACCACCTCCTCAGCCTGCAACACCAGCATACATTCTAGGTTCCATATTCACCTTGTGTAGTGTATGTTTGTTATTTAAACAGCACAGCAGTATTTAATCTATATAACAGTGGCCTGTAAATAATCAAGTCTGGACCAGACAATCCAGTGTTAGATGAACAATGCTAAATGCAATATAAAGACACATCAGCCAAGTCACATGAGCTATTGTATGTCCTGACTCTTAAGACACTGGCAGCATCAACATGGCTTCACCTGGAATATCATATAGAAGCGATATGCATTGAGGGGGAAATTCATCCAAGTCAACTTATTTTTTAAATTTTATACTTATCCTGACTCATGATCTTTTGCTTATCTCCCTTTTCCTTGCGAATGGTAGTGGAACACTTGAATCCCTTGAAGTTTCCGGAACGGACGTAAAAATACACTCACCCATGAGTTACCTCCCTTTTCCCACGTCAACAGTCATGTGACCAGCCTTACTTGTCACTCTCTCCCTTTTTGCCCAAGTGAAATTAATGCGAAAAATGCGTTTGTACTCTTCTTGCATTATTGTAAGGACGCATTTCAGCCTGACCATGTCTACTTTTGTGAACTTAATAAAAGACAGAAAACGTAAATCTGTTGACACTACACATTACACCAACACAGGTCACTTCCTCATTACAGGTATCTCAAAACACATGTAATTATCACTGGTTACAATCACTGGTCATTGTTTAAAGTCACTCAAGCACATCAGCCAGACCGGACATTCTCCAGCCACTTGTTTGTTGTACCTTGTTGGATGACTTGTGTCTTTCAAGTCGGATTACATTTATAAATGTTGTCATAAGACAATTGAAGCAAGCAATGACGTGATCAAACATGGCAACGTAATCAAAACATTGTCAGCTCATTTCCATTCATTGCTTAACAAGGTCAATTCAGGTTATTTGGTAAATAACAAGTGTGATAAAAAAAGAACACCAAAGATTAAGGGTGTCACATTTTATCATCAACACAGATTCCTGAGCTCGCATTAATTTCCTAACACATTTTAGACTAAACCCTCACACTCACATTAATTTCATGATTTACAGTAAGAAGAAACAAAATGTTTGGGAGTTAATTTTCATTTTGATGACATCCATTAATCCCTACCAATCCCCTACCCCCCCAACCCCCTTTATATTTTTGAGTTTTTTAGCTCAAAATAGCAGCAGATATATAAATGCTGCATTGGAAAACATATCAGCAGAGCAATTTGCACCAAGTGACTGTACTTTCCAGTGACTGATGCCTTGATTTTAATCTTAGTTTCAGAGAATAAATACACATATCATAAATGCCCTGAAAAGTCAGGTAATAAGTACTATTTTCTGTTGAGATAAAGTGGATATCAACAGGTTCCCTGTTTTAAAAGGCCCAGCTCATCTCAAGACTTGATCACACTCACTGACATTAACAGATTAAAGTCAGAATAAAGTGCCTTTGAACCAAGTTAATCAGCATAGGTGAAAAGTGGTTAAGATCATTTGCTTTAAAACAACAAAACTGCTGTCATACATGTTTGATGCATAATTTGTGTGGACTGACTGAGTTTGGTTTTACGCCGCTTTTAGCAATATTCCAGCAACATCACGGCGGGGGACACCAGAAATGGGCTTCACACATTGTGCACATGTGGGGATTCGAACCCGGGTCTTCGGCGTGACGAGCCAACGCTTTAACCATTAGGCTACCCCACCGCCCGAAATTTGTATGGAGCGTGGCTTACGTCAAGGACAGTGGATTACATTGTTTGTTGTGAGCCTTGTTGTAAACAAGTATGTCATCATTTATGCCCATGCAATGAACCTGATGTAACTACACACTCCAATATGTCCAGATAAAATTGAGAACAAATGTAACTCCATGATTTCCTCTACTTACCTTAAATGAAATTTCGTCAGCATGTGACGCTTCATAATCAAAATTGGCGATGGCGTGCGGAACCGACAGAGTGTAGTGATACAAGATGTGGTCAGGTCCAGGACGAGGAGGGAAGTCTGATGAACAGAATATACATCAAACACTGTGGAATTGTTTCTGTTGTCATGTATGTATCATGTATAAACATGTACATATTAGGGGTGGGTATTGCAGAGAATTTTCATATTGCGATATATTGCAATGCGAAAGCATATATTGCGATATGTTTTGCAATATATTGCAAGAAGTATTTTTAAACAAAAAACTGCTATAATCGAGTTAATGCTTGGTTTTTAAAGCATGAACACAACAAAATCACTATGCTTGATTAAGCTTTAATCAAAACTTTTAAACAAGATAAAATAAAAATGTGAATAATATTTGGCACAAATGAAACAAGGAAATATCCGAAGACTTCCGAGTGTTACAAAGTTTTCCAAATGCAAGTCAAAATACCGGTTTTCGATAAACGTATTGCAATACGTATCGTTTTCATGTCTGAACCGGTAAATACCAGTAAACCGGTTATATTGAGCAGCCCTAGTACATATCATGTATTTATCATGCAAATTCACGTGTATATATATACTTATCGGACTTTGTTGTTAATCATTAGAGAACTGCAGTGGTTAGAGACAATGTGCATTTGATAAGATCACATGAAATATTTCCATAATTTTGAAAGATTTCTATCTTTATCTTTATAATTCAGCAAAACAGGGTCCCTAAATTGAAAATAGCAAAAACTTCCACTGTGTTGCAGTGGATATGTATCTCCGGAAGCACCCACCTGGTGTCCGAGCTCCAGCCTTGGAGGGTGAGGGCTTAGCTGGCAGCTTCTTTTTTTGTGGTGATCCACTATAAAAATAAAACATTCAACTCTCTTGTTACAAGATACATGCAGCAGTGTCAACAAAAACATTTCCTGGTTTAATAATTTTCCCCTTACGGAATACTGAAAGGGCAATATCTTCACATTCCATCACTTGGCTGACTGACTGAGTTTGGTTTTACTCCGCTTTTAGCAATATTCCAGCAACATCACGGCGGGGGACACCAGAAATGGGCTTCACACATTGTACCCATGTGGGGATTCGAACCCGGGTCTTCAGCGTGACAAGCCAACGCTTTAACCACTAGGCTACCCCACCGCCCTTCCATCACTTGGAGTTGCCTTTCCAAGATGACTAAATGCAACTAATTGTTCATTCACACTTGGATAGTATTCCCTTGCAAATTCCTCTCTCAAATTATAAGGTAAAGGTACAGTCACCACAAGAGCTCCTACAGCATTAATCTATCTGAAGTCATTCCAGGTAAAAGCTACAGGTACACATCCAACCCTGTTGGAGTGAATGAGTTTAGTTTTACACCTCTTTTAGCAATATTCAAGCAATATCATGGTGGGGACACCTGAAATGTGCTTCACACATTGTACCCATGTGGGGATTCGAACCCAGGTCTTTGGTGATTGCCTTAACCACTAGGCTACCCAACCACCCTACCTACCCTGTTGGAGGTGGTGGTTTGGCTGGCATGGACATCGGTCGAGGTGGACCACCCTGGGGACGTGATGGCCTCATCTCCACCTTTTCATCTGAAGTAACAAGTAAGATACATACCAAATAGACATTATAATGATGATGATTTTTAAGGTGTGTGTGTGTGTGTGTGTGTGTGTGTGTGTGTGTGTGTGTGTGTGTGTGTGTGTGTGTGTGTGTCACCAAATCAGTGATGGTGTGTGTGTGTGTGTGTGGGGTGTGTCACAAACCAGTGATGCTGCTGGGGGGGAGGGGTGTTACCCATTTTGTTCTGGAGGTAGGGGTGTCATCAATTTTGTACACATGAACTAGGGAGGTGGTCTATGATTTTGTACATAACATGCATGGGAGGTGGGGGTCATTTACGTTGTAAATAAATTTTAGGGGGGTATTCACATAGTACATGCTTCTCCATAATAATCATCATCATCCCCCCAGCCATAAATGAATTTTGTGAAATCACTGTAATAATTTAAATCTTTATTACTAATGATACTAAACATTGAACAGACCTATTTCCTCTTTCCTTAAATAAGTGAACACAATTATTTAGTCTAAAGGAACAAAATGAAAACAGTTCATGAGAATCAAAACACATATCCAGGCTTCAGTAAGTTTAACCAAAGTGTATGCTCACCCTTTTCCTCAGCTGGTTGTCTCCTTTGAGGAGGTCCTGAAGGTCGGAGGGGCTTGGCCTTGGGTGAGTCCTCTTCCTCTTCTTGAGATGCCTCGTCTGATGTGCTCTTCTTCCCCATTGAAGGCATTGGTCTACCAGAAGGTCGAGGTGGTGGTTTGCCCTTAGGTGACTCCTCCTCAACATTAGCAGAAACTTCTTCAGTCTTCTTTGGTGTTATCATTGACATTGGTCTACCTGATGGTCTTGGGGGGCGCATCTTGGGAGATTCATCTTCATCTTGTGCTGTTTCTGGCTTTGATGTCATCATGGAGATGGGTCTGCCTGATGGACGAGGTGGGGGAGGTCGGGATACACCTTCATTGGAATTATCAGAGGTTCTTCTGGGAGGAGGAGGTCTTGAAACAGCAGGTGTGTCTTCAGGAGTAGCTGCAGCTCTAACCGAAGGAGCATCTCTGGGAGACTTATCATCTGGAGAGGAACTATCACTTGGTACAGATCTTGGCTTGGCTCTGGGCTTCAGAGGAACATGTTTTGGAGATGTTTCCTCTTCAGTGCCACTTCTACCAGACTCTGAATCTTCCCTTGGAGAACCAGATGAAGACTTTCTTGGAAGTGGTTTTTTTTTACAGGAACAGGTTGTTTTTCATTATCTACCTGCTGTTCAAATCTTGCAGCAATGGACACAGGCCTCTTGGCAGGAACTGGCCTTGGTGAAGTGGATCCATCCTGTTCCTTGTGAACAATATCACTAGACAACCCTCCAACAGAGCTTGGCCTTTTGGCTGGAACAGGGGGCATGTTTCTCATCGTCACATCAGCATCTTTATCTTTGCTGTCCTCATCTGCAATCTCCTCTGTTTCATGCAAACGTTTTGGTTTTGGAGGTGGTCGGATTATTGTGGGTCTCTTAGTAGTTGGTTTTGGTGGAGGTGCCCGTGCCATATCATCTCTATGATCATCACTGACTATCTTCTTTTCCTCGACGTCAGGTGAAGGTTTAGGTCTCGGCAGGACCGTTGGTCTGGGTTTCGTTGGAGATGGTGGACGACCTTCCACATACAGCTTTGGTGGGACAGGTGGACTTGTCTCATCATGTTCATTGGCTGGAGATTCCTTTGGAGTTTCAACAGTTGATCTTAATTTAACTTTAAATGGTAACCCTTGACCTGTATCACTTTCATTTAAATTAGGATCCCGTTGAGGTCGTCCAATAATATTTGGTCTTGGTTTAGGTTTTTCAATTTTTGCATATTGAGGTTCTGGTTCATTTGTTAAGCTATTACTACTGTCTGACTTTTGTATCACAGATTGTTCAAGACTATCACTTTTACTCTCTTCAGCAGCATGTGTATTCGGTAAAACTGGCTTTGATGAAATGCTTCTATTTTCTTCTCGAGGACTAGGAAGTGGTTTTGATGGTCTAATAATGGTTGGTTTAGCTGGCTTGGGAGGAAGGGATCTTCCCTCCTCACCACCATCAGACTGACTGAATATTGGTCTGGAAGCAAGGACAGCAGGAACTCCTCGAGGAACAACTTCAGGCGGAGACAGATCAGCAGAGGCACCTCGGGCTGGTATGATGGGTTTGTCATCGTGTCTGACAGAACCAGGCCTCATGGGCGGAGGAGGCTTGGAAGAAGGCACTGGGCTGAGATGAGGACAGAGATGTGTCTCCCAGGAGATCAGTCCTGGGTGGAGTGGAGGAGGATGCTCTGACTCCTGTTTCAGAGGACCAGATGATGGGTTGAATAACGGCATCGGAGGAGGCAGGCCAGACTGGTCACTATCATCATCAGCAGATTTGGGTAGATAGAGGGCACACTGGACTTGCTCGGAGGTGGTGGTCGAATCTGATTGGGAGGAGGTCGTGGTCTCATGGAGCATTGCTGCCTTCCTCAGCTGTGGCAGATGAAGTAACTGAAAAAACAGTAATGCAAAATTCATGGGCATTACCAGAACAAGGAGATAATACAGGATGTCTCATTCAACTTGAAATATTGTTTCAGATGATGTAACCGTATGGTCACTACAGGATGCTAGATGTACTTTAGTCTAACATCAGCAACCCATGTTAGAACTGGTCTTCAGCCATGCTTGTCGTAAGGGGCTACTAATTTGATCTGGTTTTGCATTGTATTTTTTAATTCATATTGAAAACAGGCACTGTCTAATATCTAGTCTAAAATTATTGAAAACTCAATATATTTTTAAGGAACTGATGAAAGGGAGATAACTCTTAAGCTGGACCATTCAGAAAGTGACTGCAACCAGAATTACATGTGTCTGGAATGACTTACATATGTTAATTATATGTTGGAGTACAAGCGATAAACTACACCCAACCTTCTTGTCAATATGTTGGACGGTTGTTTGTTTCAAAATGTCTTAACTGTTTTCCCAAAGCATTTGAACAAACGAAAAAGAAATGCTTTATTTCTCCATGTGCAATACTCTGAATCATATTAGATCAAAGAGATGGATACACATTGCTCAGGCTACTCACCAGGTCGAGGAGGGGGTCTGGAGACAGAACTGTCCACAGGTTTCTCTTCTGACTTTGGATTTTGCTTTTCATCACGGAATCCAACTTGGCTCATTGGCTTTGCACTTACAATGGTTATCTCTGGCCGTCTTGAAACAAACAAACAAAAATATTATAATTTCAACTATTAACTATTGATTTATTTCTGTAAAAGTAAACATGAAGATGGTGAGATTAAAGGAGGTTTGTACATCTTGTTCAAAATTATAGTACATATATGGCGATGTATAACTCTGCTTGTGTATGTGTGTGCATGTGTGTCTGCATGGTTGCCTTGGACCAAAGTGCAGAATAGGTTGGTGGTATCATATGCTGGGAACAGGTCAAAAGGGCCGCATGACAAAAGGGACGCAAAACAGAAAAGTCAAAAGGGCCGCAAGAAAGTCAAAAGGGCCGCAAACCCCTAGTCAAAAGGGCCGCATCAAAAAGTCAAAAGGGCCGCAGCAAAAATTCAAAAGGGCCTCAGACTCCAAGTCAAAGGGCCCCATATAACATATTTTTTAAAGTATTACAGTAAAAGGTTAAACATCTATACAATGTATATTTTATGCATACTAGTCCTGTTTATAATAGATATGTTTTTCAATATTAGGCCAGACCAATTTTATTTCTTTTTTTTATGGATTTTTGTCCTCAGAAAACCTAAAGGCAGGAAGGAAAAAAATAAAAAATAAAAATCACTAGTCAAAATAATTTTCCTTTTAAATACTAAAATTATTTTATTTTTGGCCATTTATTCATGAAGTTTTATGTGGGGGAAATTGAAAATTTTAA